TGGACTATAGGGGATTCGACATCCAGGGGCGTACTGTCCTTGAAATAGTATCAATGCGATTGGACTATAGGGGATTCGACATCCAGGGGCGTACTGTCCTTGAAATAGTATCAATGCGACTGGACTATAGGGGATTCGACATCCAGGGGCGTACTGTCCTTGAAATAGTATCAATGCGATTGGACTATAGGGGATTCGACATCCAGGGGCGTACTGTCCTTGAAATAGTATCAATGCGATTGGACTATAGGGGATTCGACATCCAGGGGCGTACTGTCCTTGAAATAGTATCAATGCGATTGGACTATAGGGGATTCGACATCCAGGGGCGTACTGTCCTTGAAATAGTATCAATGCGATTGGACTATAGGGGATTCGACATCCAGGGGCGTACTGTCCTTGAAATAGTATCAATGCGATTGGACTATAGGGGATTCGACATCCAGGGGCGTACTGTCCTTGAAAAAGAGAAAGCAATGATTTAAAAAGGGAGGATTCAGTCCCTAACAAATGTCAAACAAATCAAGCATTCCCTTGAACACGATCCTGTATACGCCCTCGTCGATAACCCTTTCCAAACCCGTGACGCCTCTGTTAAAATAAGGAACTTACCTAGTTTACCGATTATTGGTGTATGGCTGGGATGCCAGGAAACTCCGGCCAACATTTTCGGATCAGCACTTGGAAGAAAATATATATTTTAGGATTAAAAGAAGGAAAAACAATTAGTGTACTTAACAAATATACGTTTTAGTCACATTTTTGGATCAGCACTTGGAAGAAAATATATATTTTAGGATTAAAAGAAGGAAAAAAAACAATTAGTGTACTTAACAAATATACGTTTTAGTCACATTTTTGGATCAGCACTTGAAAGAAAATATATTTTAGGATTAAAAGAAGAAAAAAACAATTAGTGTACTTATTTACACTATACGTTTTAGTCACATTTTTGGATCAGCACTTGAGAGAAATATATTTTAGGATTAAAAGAAGAAAAAACAATTAGTGTACTTATTTACACTATACGTTTTAGTCACATTTTTGGATCAGCACTTGGAAGAAAATATATATTTTAGGATTAAAAGAAGAAAAAACAATTAGTGTACTTATTTACACTATACGTTTTAGTCACATTTTTGGATCAGCACTTGGAAGAAAATATATATTTTAGGATTAAAAGAAGGAAAAAAACAATTAGTGTACTTATATACACTATACGTTTTAGTTACATCATTTTTATTAAGGAACATTAATTTTTAGTTTTGGTTGAGTCCCCTATTTATTTTAGTTGAGTCCTATTTATTTTAGTTGAGTCCTATTTATTTTAGTTGAGTCCTATTTATTTTAGTTGAGTTCTATTTATTTTAGTTTAGTTGAGTCCTATTTATTTTAGTTTAGTTGAGTCCTATTTATTTTAGTTTTGTTGAGTCCTATTTATTTTAGTTATTTTAGTTTTGTTGAGTCCTATTTATTTTAGTTTAGTTGAGTCCTATTTATTTTAGTTGAGTCCTATTTATTTTACTTTAGTTGAGTCCTATTTATTTTAGTTTAGTTGAGTCCTATTTATTTTAGTTTTGTTGAGTCCTATTTATTTTAGTTTTGTTCTCACCTCAATCTCATGCCAACATAGGTTCCCCAGCATGTGCCTAAAGTTCCAAATCTAAAATAAAGATTTCTCAAATAATTGGAATAAATATAAAAAAAGAAATTTAAAGAATTTAAAAAATTAAATTCCAATTTTATGAACAAATCTCTATTTTTTAATTTTAGACACATTTTTTCCATTAAAAAAGCGCAGCAAAGACGTTTAGTAAAGTAACAAATCTTAGATAAATTAACATTTATTCTGCTGCCGGAAATACCTTTTAGCACCATGAGACTCTGCATATGGCAGAATAGATTCTTTCCAATCTTTCTCTAAACTTGCCCAATTAGATTTTTCCTTGATAAACTCTCCCACATCAGCATCCCATGGGGACCGGAAATCTCCATTCCTGAACAATATTCAATATGTTATTCATCAACTTGTCCCAATCCTTGAACAGGTACATTACATACATATTTACTGTTCATCATCTATGTACACTGTACAGTGGTATGTGATTATAGCGATACAAAGAATACGACTGTTTTTTCGTTTTGATGGTTTTTTGAGTTACAAATTTTACGAGTAATCAAAGAGAAGTTTAATTGAGAACATCTATTGATTTCAATGTTTATGTATATCCAATATCTATGCTTTCCAACAGCTTCATCTAAATCAAAATTGAAATCGAAAGTAGTTTTCATTGTTTTGATTTAACCGCCTGAAGAACGTGATTATACCTGTAGTAGTCTGGAATAATAACCATGTATCCAGATTCAGCAAACAGATCAGCGGTTTGTCTGGAAACAGTAAAAAATATAATTTATATGTTTACGACAAATTCTTTTTCGTTAAAAATGCCTTCAAGACGTAATTTCCTGTAATTTTCTTTAAACAGAAGCTTATCAGATTCACAATGGTACCCTTTAAAAGCTTGATCTGATCAAGAATGAATGATATATTGACTATTTATTCATTAAAAATTGATAGTTTACCATTTTTGCTAAGAATAAAAGTGCTTTGCATAAAGGTTTGTAACCCGAGATTGTATCTCTATAAATGGAAGGTGACTTGCAATTTCAATGACCGATCCATTAAATTGTAAATTGTGAAGTCTGATAAATAATGTTTATCCTTTAGAACTATATTTCATTTAGATTCAACCTACTTCGTTCTACCGCTATTGATTCCAAAGATATCATAATTCCAGATGATGCACTTCTCCCCCTCCCCAACCCTGTACATTTCCAGGTCGCCAACCTTCTCTATTACACCCTAAAATAGTTAAAATTATTTATTTTGAGTATTTTTTAATAGTATGAGAAACCTTTTGCTGGCTATTCCTAACAGTCTTACTCTTATTTGACCAAGACTCTTATTTGACCAAGATGTAAGCCATAGAATACGAAGCGTATACGCTCGTCTGTTTAATCTATTTGTTTGTTTGTTGCACAAAAAAAGGGAAATACATTAACATTTGCACTGCCCGGAGTAGCAAGTTTTTTTTTAGTCCAAGGACCAAATTTAATGTAGTTGAACCACGTACAACTAATAAAATCAACTTTTCTTCAGCTTACACAGAGAAAAAGAGAGGAGGTTCAACCACGTCTACGCGGTTCAACAACATATTGAATTTATTAAATTTGGTCTCAGGACTAAAATGCATTTTCATTACATTTTAAAAAATTAAAATCTGTTAGTTTAAAAATAAGATTAGAAACCTTAGGTTCGTATCCTTCAACCTCTAGTTTACCCCATGAATCTGTAGGACAACAACTCATCGTAGTTTCTTCTTTAACCTCCTCTGAAACTAATACAAATTGTTACAGTACATACTTTTCAGAGGATTTATTTTAAAAGCAGGGTTTAAAGGGACTGTCGTCGAATTTCATGTGACCCTTTATTTTAAAAAAGTGACATGCAATATTCACAATGGTACCGACTCTTTAAACATATATCTAATCAATAATGTTGAAGATTTTCTTTATTCCTCAGAGAATTCATTTAAAAATCAGGGTTTAAAGGGACTGTCTTCGAATTACAACTGACTCTTTATCTTAAAAAAGTGACATGCAATATTCACAATGGTACCGACTCTTTAAACATATATATCTAATCAATAATGTGGAAGATATTGTCGTTTTACCATACTTGTAAAGTGTTTATTTCTGAAAATTTCCTCCGTATTGGTTCTGAAGCAGAAATAGAGCAACTCACTAAATTCACTTTACATAAAACCACAATTGAAATAAATCAATGTTTAAGGTGAAGATGATTGATATTGCGTGCATTCTTGACAAGACGAAGCTTTTAAGCGTACCATTGTGAAAAGGACATGCCTGCACTCTATAATTGGAGACTGGAGAGTCACTTGCAATCACACGTCCCCTTTAAACATGTGCTTCAAGGTTTTTTCCTTCGAGTGTTACTATTGTTATTGAACCTTACCGCAAAGTTACAGTTCAATTAGATATGATTAATAACCTATTTAATAGATATCTACACTTTTTATTTACAAATCATCATGAATTTTTAAAGAAAAGCATGAAAGATTTGAATCTGTACAAGGATGAGACTGCAGTGCAGGAACGACTGAACAGAATTTGTTTCAATCGTAAATCTTACAGGCATGGTCCCATTACGTGCAAATCTTATTTCCTTCGCAAATTTATAAGACAGAAACCCAAATAAAATCTTCAGTATGTTATATTATAAGTGGGTAACACTGTATAAACGAAAAACGAAATGGTTTCCGATTAGCTCATATTTTTGATTTATAATATCAAAGCCAAGAGAGGACTAATAACAAAGCTAAGCATGAAACAGCTGATCAAGTTAGGGCCTAGAACTGGATTTTAATTCTTCCCACTTTAAATAAATAAAGTATAAAAGATAAGATTTGAAAACATGAAATCTATGAAAGCCGAGTGTGTAAGTATAGAACATCACATTATGTGATAAGACATCTGCAATCAATATTATTTATTGAATGCTGGCTAATTAAACAATATTATTTATTGAATGCTGGCTAATTAAACTATCTTTTTAAGTAATCCTAGATTCCCTAAATGTTTGCTTTATTAACATATAAAACTTAAATTATGAGATTAAAGGTTTTTATAAAATATATTTTACTCAACTTTTACTAAACACAAAACAATATTCTTAATGAATAAAACCATTTTTTTTGGCGAATACTTAAAACAAACTTTTCATTTTTTCAATAATTTTGAAATTTGGCAATTAGTTAAAGCAGAGGCGCAACAAGGTTTTTTGTTAAAATTTTCATGCTAAGATCCAGGCATTAGAAAACAACTTTTCATAAAATGAAATCAAATAATTTCCAATCTTTATAAGAAAATAATTTCATATTAAACAGTAGACCCTGTTTTAGTCATGTCTCATTTTACCATCTTATGGGGACGCTTTGAATAAAAATTGTTTTCTAAAATTTTGCTGTAATCCTAAGATTGCCATACTTAATAATCATTCAAAAGTTTTCCATTTTAAGTTTGGTGTATTAGTATTTGGTAAATATATCTCACTAGACCGGTCAATTATCTCAATTGTTAAATGAATTGTCAGCGTAATATTAAGTGTTCCTCCGTGCAAAGATGCACAATTCACAGCAATACCCTTAAAACTTTGTCTAGTTAAGCATGAATTTAAAACCAATGTTTACAACTTTGAAAAGTGATTATTTACTGCAGGTTTCTTCTACAGGAAAACATATAGTAATTGTCAGAATTTAACACTTTAAAACCTATTAAAACCTATTAAAACCTTTTAAAACCTATGAAACCCTATTAAACCCTATATTAAAACCTATTAAACCCTATTAAACCCTATATTAAAACCTATTAAAACCTATTAAAACCTATTAAAACCTATTAAAACAATATTTTCTGATAAAATAAAGGGTTCAAGGGTACAGTTGTAAATCGTGCATTTGCACCGAGGGTTATATCATGAAATTACGATTGATTTTGAATGACCCATTCAAATCCTTCCTAAATCCTAACTTTGAATTGTTGAACCGGAAGTATAGGTAGTTCAACAACGTAGCTCAAAATCATTAAATATCACAAAGATAATTTATTTTATGAAATATTTTTAAATATTTGTTCTAACCTTGAGGTTCCCCAGTCTGAGCCCAAACACTGGATAAAAAAGAAAAGTTCATTAAATTTTATGTCTTAAGGGATTTTTTATGAAAAAAAGATTGAAGCCGATAAATTTAAATATAAATAATGTCAAATTTTCTTTAATCTAACACGCTTAATACAATCCATTTTGTTACAAAAAAAATTCCCGAGGTACATGTTTGCTGAAATGGAGATTCTAACAATATTTAGTGTTAACTAAGATAAGCCAACAATTGATTGTCCAAATATATGTAATCTTACACTGAAGGAATAACGCATCTAATGCCAAATTCAGAAAATAATTGTTATTGCCCTGTAGATAAACTAAATCACAAAATAAATATGAAGGATATTAAGTCTTAAAAACTTGCCATGCAAGACATCGAGAAATAACATTGCAATTACTTCAATTTCTTTCTATTAAATAACTCTTTACTGGAAATACTTATTTTATAAATTAAAAGCAAAACTTTTAAACATTAATAAATTCAAATGTCGCCCTTTTGTAATCCTTAATTCTTGAGCCGTTTGAGCGGTAAGGAAGGATCAGGAACCTTTTCGTTAAATTAAAACTAATGCTTTTGTTACTTAAACCAAATATTAAACTGTAGTTTAAATTAAACTTTTTTATTGTACTAAAACTGAACCTAATATCTGTTGAAATGAGTGCTGAAAGCACAAGAAGAAGAATCATGTTGAAGAGCGAACTCATAACTAGAAACCTTGGACAAGGAACCATTTTATCTGGATCTTTTATGTGAAACAAAAATGTCGTTAATTAAGCAGGGAGTCGTAACATCATACTGGACCATTCTTAGCTTTAAATTGGGATTTTATCAGAAAACAAATTAATCATTAAGCAAATTTACAAAGCTTCTATTGATATTTGCATAGAGAAAATTCACAGTTGTGGGAGTAATTAATGCGTATCCTTAGATCTAAGCTAAACACACCTAAGATCTCTGAACTGAACAATTATAAGACCTAAAGTAAACACACACCTAAGATCTAAATTGAACACACCTTAGATCTAAGCTAAACACACATAAAATCTCAACTGAACACATCTAATATCTAAACTGAACACACCTAAGATATGAATTGAACACACCGAAGATCTAAGCTGAACACACCTAAAATCTGAACTGAACACATCTTTGACCTAAACTGAACACACATAAGACATGAATTGAACACACCTAAAATCTAAACACACCTAAGATCTGAACTGAACAAATTCACCTAATTTCTGAATTGAACACGGCTAAGATCTAAGCTAAACACACCTAAGATCTAAGCTAAACACACCTAAGACATAAACTGAATCTGAACTGATCACGCCTAAATAAACTAACTACATGACACTTATAGACTAATCTGAACTCACTTAGATAAACTAAACTGAACACAATTAGATAGAATAAATTTATGACACTTTAAAAAAGTGAACTGAACTAAATTGGCTAAACTGAGTACACTAAAGATCTAAACTGAATACACGTTGATAAACTAAACCGAACACACTTTGCTAATTGCTCATTAAACTGACTACATTTTATAAATTAGACTGAACACACTTTGATAATTACTAATTAAACAGGACACAAAACTGAACTGAACAATCCGAGATAAACTAAACTGCACACACTAAAGAACTCTGTACACACGTTGATAAACAATCCACTAAGACACAATAAAGATTTAAACTGAAAACACTAAAGATTTAAATAAAACACACTTAAGATCTAAAATGAACACACTTTGACGAACTAAACTGAAACACATATGAACTAAACTGACTACACTTTGATAAACAAATTGAACACACTTTGATAATTACTAATTAAACTGAACACCCCGAGATAAACTAAACTGGCCACAATAAAGATCTAAACTGAATACACTAAAGATCTAAACTGAATACACTAAAGATCTAAAATGAATACACTAAAGATCTAAACTGAATACACTAAAGATTTAAACTGAATACAATAAAGATCTAAACTGAATACACTATAGAAGATATCTCAATTGTTAAATGNATGTAGCAATAGAACCAAGCAAAGCCCCCCGCCCCCCCCCCTTCAGGAATACAGGTATACCCTTAGCAACAGGCAAGAGATAGGAGTGGTTTGAATGGGGTAGGGGGGGGGGGTGGATAAATGTTACAAGCAATTCTTTATTAAACTTTTTATTTCTAAAAATAAATTAACTAACTAGTAATAATTTGCTTTCTAATTGTGTATTTATGATCACACAGCATTCAACTGTGAGAATAATAATTATAGGAAACATTATAGTAATCACAAACCAGATTTAAAACGTACACAAACTAAACGACAGAAAAGGGGCAACATGTAATGTTATTGTTTTTAACAAAACATCTTTTATCCGATTGGATTACATCTAATAAATAAATAGATGAATTGATAAAAAACACACAAGGTGATTTTTAATTTTACCAATCTTAAGGGAGGAAAATGTCGAGTCTATTTATTTTGGTTTTAAATTACTAAAATTATGCTTATTTCTACGTCAGATTTTAGGTAACGAATAAAAATTAAGAAAATTGACTTTTTTCGCGAATGCACCCGTTTCTTCTTTTTAATTATTTTCCGCTCTTTTTGTTTCAAATTAACGATCCTATTCGATTTCTTCAAAAATGAAGAATTTACTAGTCCATTCTACTTATATTCCCCTCTCAGTACACTAGACAAAACCTATGCCTGGAATCTAACTAATAAGCAGTTGAACAACGCTTACTTAGTTGAACCACTTCTCATGTGCAGCAGTTCAAACTTCAATGTGAATACAAGTGATTCAACTTAGTCTACGTAGTTCAACTATATTCTTACTGCTAATTATAAAGTTGTTCAATGAACATAAGATAGGCCAAACTTACACTGCATTGTGTCATTTTCATAAAAAGACGTTCAAATTTTTATTCAACTTGTATATATACATATATGTCAATTCATTCCAAAACAAGTGATTTTATCCAGTTTAATCATTTTTTAACTTTGTATACTCGTTTGTTCCATAGTTCCATTAAAAATGCATAAATTACAGATGTTTTTTGAAAAACTCCAATGTTTCGTTGATCGCCTTCAAGACATCCCTGTAATAATAATAAATATTAAACATCAACATTCAAAGCTATATTCTCATAAGGGTTTGTTTAGACACTCAGAAGACCACCTTCTGAATTTGTTTGTTTTTAGCTTAAGATTAATAGCCAATGGGACAAATTATAAATGTTTAGATTATTATTGCTGACACAATACTTTACAGGGAAAACGCAGCTATAAATTCAATATTGTTACGCCACGAAATCGTCACGCTCTGAATTCCCTCACCCCTGAGTTCTTCACGCAAAAAATGTGAAACCCCTGAAGTCAAGGGGAGGGGGACACTTACCGTCAATTAAACTTGATATTTTGATACGAAAAGTATTGCTGATAATGTTGTTAGCTGTTTACGGCACATTAAGGTATTAATTTGGCTTACTATATTCTTTTTATCTGATAAAATATCCTTGTATCCTTGTAGAGGCGCAACTGGGCGGGGCGGCCGGGCGCGCACCCTCCCCTTGCCCAAGAGAGCTGGGCCCCCCCCCCCCCTGCAGAATGAAAAGAAAGATTGGTGAATATCATTATCTCAGGAGTCAGGAATGATAAAACCCAAAGAGTTATTGTAGATATTGTATTCTCCTATTAAAAAAAGTTCCGAACTGTATTGAAACTTTGAATTATTTTGGTAAAATATTCTAAGTTTGAAATATCAAAGGTTTACGCTACTGTACTCGGTGCAAAGATTTAGGGATTAGAATATTTGAGTTTGTGGTAAAAACTCAGTTCCAATTCTAGAAAACATTCTGAGACTGAACCTGGCAAACTTCTAACTGATTATCATATTTGATAACTGTAACCAGTTTCTCTACTTTGAAAGAACTTCTATGAAATCAAAAATGAAATAAGATTATGAATGTTGATTGAGGGAGGGGGTACAGAAGCGCCATGATCCCCGCAAAAACGACCTCCGAGCTTCAGGATTTGCAGAATTACCTCCAGGCCCCGCAAAACTGGTCTCCCAGCCTCAGTAACGTCACCAAGCCTCCCGCCATTCTGTCTCCACGCCCCGCATTTTGGCTCCAATAAAAAAATATTTGGCTTTTATTTCCACCAAGAACCTTTATTAAAAATTCCCAACATGATGAAATAGTTCAGAATGATAAATTAACATTTTGTATTAAAAAGTGAATTTTAATTGAGATTAAAGGCTTGTATTTTGTTTTTCTAAATTTCACAAATTCCTTAAATTGTGAAGAACTATTGCAGTTTTGTATAAAGATAGAATAATTTTATATTATTTTAGAGGGGTCTCATATATGAATCAAACAATATCAGCGGCAATTTACAAAACAAGGTAGTTTTGTGAAATCCTTGTATTTGTGATTTTATCGTATGCTTTAGAAAATATTGAAGAACTATCTTTTTAAAAATTGAAACAAAGAATTAAAATAATCTAAATATCTATTAAATGCTATACTAACAGGTTAGGGCAGCTTCGTGTCATATTTTGTTGTTTTAATAAGTTAAATTTAATTCTAAATAGTTTTTCTTTTAGCGAGAGAATTCATTTATTTGACTGAAAAAATTGATATACAGAGGTGGAGGGGGGGAGGGGGTGCGCAAAAACTCGTATATTATAGGACAGATCCTCATTAATTTGCATTTTTATGATCAAATGTAATGCTAAGGAATCGAGAGTTAATAAAATCTTTAAATCATGATGCCTTCAAAATATTAGATAAGTTGTTTATAAAGGTCGTCTTTTTCTCATTCCATCTTAATGTAAACTTTTACAGAAAAACAACTCCAGAACAATTGAATGAATTAACATGTCAAATTTGTTGATTAGACGATTCTTTAAACTATTACGGAGTCTACTATGAAGAGATGTATTGATATTTGTTTGGTTAAGCCAATAAATTTAAACAAAAAATAAAAACAACAAGCAGAGACCAAAATGCGGGGTGTGGAGACAGAATGGCGGGAGGCTTGGTGACGTCACTGAGGCTGGAAGACCGGTTTTGGGGGGCCTGGAGGTAATTCTGAAAATCCTGAGGTTCGGAGGTAATTTTTGCGGGGATCATGGTGCAGATCTGCACCCCCTCCCTCGTTGGTTAGATCACTAGAATAATCATTTATAAATTCAAAAACTTCGGGAGAAAACTTAATATTATCTGTCCCTTTTCAATGTGTATGATTAAAATTATATATGTATTTTGATGTTTTTTAGAATATATAAATGATTTCTTGTAATTATATCTGTAATTAAACAAGGTACTTTTCTTTGGCGCTCCACGCAAACATGAAAAGAATAGATTGACCCATATCGTTAATTTTATAGTTGTTGAAAGTATATAAAATTTTAAAAAACACAAGAAAAAAAACGATTTGAATTGAACACAGCCAAATCTGCATGCAACCACTGAAAATTTCCTTTTTTTCAACATCAAACCCTTAAAAAAGCACTTTTATTTTTTTTTAAATTACCCCAGACCATCACAAAATAATATTTTGTCCCCCCCCCCTAGCAAAAGTGCTAGTTGCGCCTCTGTATCCTTGAATTGTTTAAATTAAAACTGAGGAGCTGGATTTCAGGTTCGAGATTTCTCAGGAGTTGGAAGATATTGAGCTTCCCTGGCGATGTTGAGCCTGTTAAGGGTTCAGCTCTAATAGGGATTTAAAGCTTGTTAATGGTTAATGGTTAGGAGAACTCTTGATGAGTGTTGTGAATGTGATATTAAGTGATTTTCTCTGGTAAACAATTAACATCTATTCTCATGATCTTGAACCCTGTTTTTTTTTTAAGAGACGGCAACTTTTGAGCTGTTCTGATGTGATATTTTAGCTCATGCAATCTGATCTTGGAGTTCTACATTCTACAAGGAGATGAAGCTGATCTTTCCGCTCCCATGGGTGGGTTGGGGGACAAAATCGTCACGTTCTGAATTCCCTAACCCCTAAGCTCTCCACACAGAAGATGTGAAACCCCTAAAATTGAGGGGGGGGGGGGGAAACCAGTCTGTACTGCAGCACCGTAACCAGTTTTGATTTGTAAACTTTACCTTAACTTTATACTGTGTTTGTCAATTCTCGTCAGTTTTACTTGTTATTTTGATTGTGATCTGTTTATGGCACAAATTAAGATATTTATTAGGCTTACTATATTCTTTTACTTGATAAATGAGCTTTTGTATCCTTGGATTGTTTACATTAAACTAAGTTTTACTATGCTGAAGATTATCACAGTTTTTGTATTTATCATGAGCTTTAAATAATTTTATCCTTGAAACAACTCTCGTATATATTATCCTTTTTCTGCATATTGTATTTTTTACAGTTTGAACCCGTTTGGCGCTAACTAGAGCACCGTTACTGTAGAGGAGAGATTCTAAAAGTTTTAATCCAAGAAGTCTGAGGCTGGTTCCAATCAGACCCCATAACAGATAAGGACTAGGTTAATACTTAAGGATATTTTAAGCGGCCGGATTTGGTCGCGAAACGCATATTTTAATAAATTTCTATAAGATTGAGTCCATTAGACCAAACTATTTGATATCTATTATAAGTAAATATTTACGAGTTCGTCAAGAAACTATATTTACCTCTTCACTTTAGGATCAGACATATCCCCCCTGACTGTCCATCCATGCTGCATATCTGGGAACTCAATAACTTCAACGCCAGCTCCCTCTTCTAGGATCTGAACAAGAGATATAGTTTTTTTTCAGGGGGCGAAAATTCCAAACCGTGGTTGTGTAAAAACCTGAAGAATTGAAATTGATTAGCACAAAGTTTGAAGATCAACGTTATGGGAACTTCAAGGGCAAATTTCATTTAAAAAACTATTTTCAAAATTTTAATATTGCAATTATGTACGTCTTACAATAAAATTTATAAAAGCATCATATTTGAAATAATGGTATTTATCTATAATCCAAAAATATTTTAAAGGATTCTGATATTAACATATTCAAAATGGAATACAAAATTAAATAAATGATATTTTTAAGAAATCTTACCTTAATGAAACTAAAAAAATTGCCAAAGTTTTTCAAAATGTTTAATAGACTAAAGTGGAACACTCGTACATAAACCCCGGTATGAAGTCTAAAAGTCGTATTTTGCTTTAAAGAAACTGTTCAGCGGACAGTAACAAAGTGTGTGTTCTGAAGGTCGTCTTTTTATTCAATTTTATTATAATTGTCCTAAATAGCTTTTAATGGAAAATTCCTACCTTGACATTCTCTCCTCCTTTCTGATCTGCTGGCGAATCTGGTCCTGCGGGCATAATTAGCTGGGGACACTGAACAGCCTTCATCAGCTCCTTGACATCCTCCCCTTGGGACATCATAGTACAGGGTAAAAGCAGGGGGGTTAGTAGCTGTCTGCCTGCCAGGCTAATTAGCTGGATTGGATGGTACACTATACAACTGTTTACTAATATATGACAGAACTAAGGAGATTGTGGCCTATATCAAATAATTATTAAATATGCAATACGCTCTCGGTGTAGTTCACGGCCTATACAAAAGTAAAAGATTAGTGTAAGTAAGCACTCTAGGTTGGTAGAAGTTAAGGGAAACATTAGTTAATAGATTGTAAACCGGTTTAAAAAGCATTTATCGTTTAGAGGCTCAGAGGGCTGGCTTGGAGGTGAAAGCACAACTATAAATATGTTAAGAAAAAAGCTAGGATTCATCTATGACCAACAATGTGTCCATCTTAGACATGTGCAGTTGCTGATCGTAGGAAAAACATATCATGCTTTTCATATATTCACCAATAAAAGTAATAAATTTAAACATTTTGTGAGCTATAGCTTTCTTACTCCATTGAAATAGAAACTTATCCTTTTAACTGTAATCAATTAAGTTTTTGTTTTAAATTACTAAGACAGCCTTTCAGCTCCCCAAATTGTTTTAGAAAATTGAAGATCTTGAAAAATAATAATGTGATTCAAACTTCCTATTATGCATTCTTGACAAAAAAAGATTCCTGAATTTTGAAACTTTTTATGAAATTATAGAACTCACCAAGTGTATCGGTCATTGGTGTATGACTGGGATGCCAGGAAACTCCAGAACAAAATTTAGGATCAGCACTTGACAATAAAATTTACTTATGATAATGATAAAAATTGGGTAAATAAATAAATAAATAAATAAATTGGGTAAAAAGGATCGAATATTTAAGTAAGTAAGTAAGTAATATTTATTGCACAATAAAGTGGCAGGAGATATACAATTCGCAGGATTGCGGTTTATTTGGTGAAGTGCCATGATTTTAAGTACATATCGATTTTAAAGTCTGTTTATTATTCTTAGACTCACCTCATTCTAATGACAACGTAGGATCCCCAACATGTTCCTAATGAAGCAAACCTATAATCATTAAAATGATTTGTAAATCAAGGATATCTCTAGAAAGAATGTACAAAATGGATGAAACTTTAGAAACGACTGCACCGAATATATACTAGCAGTTTCCTTACATTCATGATTCCCTCCAACTGTTAACTTGTTTTGTTCTTTGGAAACTTAATATTAAAACCATTAAATGAATAATTTTAAGGCAAAAGACTTATTGCAACATTGGAATCATCATATTTTTAAGTTTAAGGTCGTCTTTGCAGTCTAATTATTTGCTGGTAACCATGAAGTTAAAAAAAAATAAGTCTTTTGACGACGAATTTTAGAATAAGCATTCAAATCAAATCCTAAAAAAAATCAGATTTCGATAATTATCACGACCTCTTTTTTGGGGAAATTTAATTTGTCGAAAAAACTACCTCTTAGCTCCATGAGACTCTGCATACGGAAGTATTTTTTCTTTCCAATCTTTCTCCAAATTCTTCCAATTTGTTTTTTCCTTGATAAACTTATCAACATCAGCATCTTCAGGGGATCGGAAATCTCCATTCCTGAATATTATTTACCAGCTTAATTAGTCAAAAATCAAAATGCATATTACAGTTTAAAACTTTCGTACTTAATGTTGATGTTAAATAATGCATGAATTAAGTTTTAAAAAAAATGTTTTTCTCTGAGCAAAATTTTTACATATTCCTTTATTTAACAACTAGCTTAGTAGCCAAGCTTTGCATGAAAACTAAACTTTTACAGTTTACTATTAAAGTAAACAAACTAAACTTAGTATTCTTAAACCAAACTAAGAACAAACTAAGAACAACTAGCTTGTAAATAAACCAAACTGAGAACATTCCCGTGGTTCTATCGAGTTCCAAAATTTAATTTGAGACAAATCAGTCATGAGGTTCAAAAGTTTTAATCAGACAGACACCAATACAGAAAAATATAGATCACTACTTTATATATACAGATATTCTCAGATATTTAAAACACCTCTTTTTACAGAACCAAAAATAAAAAATATAAAAACCTGAAAATTATACCTGAAGTAGTCTGGCATGATAACCATATATCCAGACTCAGAAAACAGATCAACAGTCTGTCTAAAAATGTAAAATTTTAAAAATGACCAGAGGTCAAAACTTCTGTACAAAGGAATTGAGTCTTTGCCACAAACACTGATTTTTTAATCCTTTTAACTGTGCAACCTAATGTCGTAGACCTTAGATATTTTAAACTATGAATTGTGTTAGTTCAAGTGATCTAAGTTTGAAATATAAAAGGTTTACGCCATTAGGTTGGCAAGATATAAGCATTAGAAAATTTGAGTTTGTGACAAAAACTCAATTCTTTAGCACCAATTTATAATCGATAACACTTCATCTTGAAATTTGCAGTGACGACTTTTTTGTTTGAGGGATAAGTGCTTAAAAAATCCTTTAATCTAGTCATCACTAGTCTCTAAGGGGTACGCGGAGATACCCGAGAAAAAATTTAATCCGTAGATAGGGCTTCATCAGACACGGATAACTGCTTGTTTCAGGGACTCGCTTCCAATTTGTTAATTATTCAAAGCTGGAAACATTTGGGTTGGATACTTATAATCCTGAAAACTTGATCTCGATATCCACTTTGTCACTTTTAATTTGAGGATCAAAGCTTGATTTTCTTATTTCAGTTATTTCTCCCCTGATCAAAGCTCTCTTCAAACCCCGGCCCTGACTACAATTACCATGCGGGAAATCGAATAAAGATTTGATAATTCTGCAGATTAAAAAAAGATAGAAACAAAGCGTTTTCCTCTAGATTATTTTTCAGATGGAACCTACTTATTTCTACCGCTATTGATTCCAAAGATATCATAATTCCAGATGATGCACTTCTCCCCCTCCCCTGCCCTGTACATTTCCAGGTCTCCTACCTTCTCTATTACACCCTAATCATAAAAATAATATTTTCGTGTTTTATAAACTTTAAAAATGACAGCGAATGTGTTAATTTAAAACCAGCAAGAAAGGTGATCGTCTTTGTCGTTAATATTAATACAATGAAGACGACTTTAATTTTCAATTTTGATTTCTACCAAGCTTTTATCTACAGGGTTACCCACAAAGGATGAAACTTCAGAGACGATTGTACGGAATTTTTTAGTCCAATTTCTTACGTTCAGGGTTCCTTGCAGACCAAACTTGCTTATTTATATGCTTAATCATTTAGCACACCATTTAAATACTAAATTGAAGGCAGAAACCGCCAAGCTTTAAATTGTCATATTTTAAGCGTTTTGGGTCGTCTTTACAGTCTCATCCTTTGAGGGCAACCCTATAGCAGAAACACTTAAACATTTAAACAATATGAAGTTGTCAATAAATAGCTTATCTTTGTTTTCTTGTAAATTGAAATTTAAAAAATGCTTTTTACTTGTAAAGGATCAAAACATTATTAATAAAATATCTTCTTCATTATATTAATATAATCGATCGCCGACCACTGTAGAATCAATAAATATTTAATTCATTGAGCAAAAATTTCTTGTTAAATGAAAAGTTAGAATTAGAAAATTCTTGTTGTTTTCTTTTTTTGCTTAATCATTATGAAATAATTGCAATGCACAAACTCCTTTGGTGCATGACATTTTGTTCAACGTACAGCATTCATTCCCCAGTTTTCTGCTTTTTACTGAACTTGTTTATTTATCTGTATTTTGTCTTTTTGTCTGTTTACTTGGCACGCTAATACAGTAAGCCCAATAAAACTTTGGACTAGGAAGACGACAATTAAGTAATCTCAATATATTTTTGCATTTTTACCAGTAGTTTAAAAAGTTACATGTTGAGCGAAATGTATCTGTTTATTTTGCACAATGATTGCTGCGTTTCATGTTTATTGCATGGACTACTCGAGAACTGGACTTTATGGAAGAAAAACAAATAATTTGTGCGAGGAGAATGTTAGCCTGGGATACCTTGGGTTCGTATCCCTTCACCTCCAGTTTACCCCAGGAATCCTTAGGACAACAACTAGTTGTACTTTCTTCTTTTATCTGTTCTAGAAACAAAAAATTATAAACATTTTCACAGCATATACAGAGGTAATAAAAAGCAATAGAATTATTGAGATTGTCTTTTTATATTACAAAATGATAACCAAGTGTTTTGTAATTTGAACCGAGTCAGTTCTTGTAATGTGTTCTAAATATTTTAAACAAACAATTCAACCCGGAACTTCGGAAATATCATAAGAATTTAGAAAATATCGTTTACTTAACCTACTGATAATGGAATCCTGCAGATATTTAGTTTTTAATTTAATAATTATATGGGACTCTTTAAAACTGTCCCTGCATATTTTATTACTATTTATTTATTTTTATTGATATTTAGGTATAAAATAGTATAAATCTAAAACCAATTGAAAAATGGTCAAGACGACATTTTATAAATTATCATATTATCATAAATCCATATTTCTGTGTTAAACTGTATAATAATTCTTAATTAAATAAAAAGGATAAATAATTCCATTATTTTATGGTCACCACCGCATTTTCAATAAAACTTGTTTTTAAAGCTTATTTTTTAAAAAGGTAATAACTGCGTTACCATTTTCCCACTAAAGTGCGCAGTAAATGTATCTACTCTATGGTTTATAATAGATGACATGAAGGAGAAGTAAGGAATTAGATTAATCTATAAATAATCAGAGGCCGAATTTAAAGAATTTGAGCCGCGGTTTCAATTTAAGCCGCGGCTCAAATTTTGTTGGTTCCACTTAAATTTGTATTAAATTTTTCAAGATTAAGCCGGCGCTCAATTGAAACCGGTTTTGGGGGATTTTAGATGCGGCTTAAAGTCATTAAATTTGGCCTCAGTTTGTTTAAATATCTGTTGTCATTGAAACAAAAAATAAGTAATTTATTCATCTAAACACTGCTCAGCACCCTAGTATGATTAGTAGTAATTCAGTCCATTTGATATCGCCGCTAAATTTCTTTATTTTTCTCCTATTGGTGGATTTTTTTAAAGATAGATAGATAGAATGATGATCGATAGATAGCACTGAAGACACATTGAAACCTAATTAGATAATCATTTGTTAAAAAAAAATTTGTATGTTCCTACATTTTCATCGTTGTTTTATAGTTTAGTGTTAATTATTTTTTTATTTATAAAAATTTAGATTTTTTGTTTGTTTTCGGGGCCCTCGGTTAAATGCAAAAGTTTGAGAGAATGCCGCAACTTGTTTGTTTATTATATAAACATGTTGTTTCGGCCGAATTGAAATGATGTTATAATTTTCGTGATATTTATCGCTAATTAAATGAATGATGGGCATGTGTGGCTGTAGTTAATGTTCATTTGAACTATACTGCCGTTTGATTTTTGAACTATTGGTAGTCTGAACTATTGTGCATTCTTACTACTGAGAACAACGTCACTACATGCAGTTCACATTGCTTAATCTTTGTACTGTTAGATATGCAATTTGATAATTTTCTAATATACGATTTTTGGGCCCCCCCCCCCCCTCCTATAAATTCTGTACCCTGGATCTCATATGTAATACATGGATATAATTGATCATGTGACCGCAGCGCCCGGCCCCCTAGCTTGTCCTAACCGCGGCGCTCGGACCATAAGCCTGTCCTAGCCGCAGCGCTCGGCCCCCCTAGTCTGTCACAGCCGCAGCGCTCGGCCGAGTAATTGTCTTAAGCTAACCTAATCTTAAACTAGTAAATAATGAATATATATATGTTGGCTGAAAGATAAGTGGTCATGTACACAATTCAAAGGAGGGGTGGGGCCAAAATCTATATTAGAACGGACCCATTCAAGTTAAACTTTTATATTTAATGATAAAACAATCATCATATCAAATATTTCGCTGGACAAAAATTCAAATGACACAAGAATAGTTTAAATCAAATGAGAAAAAAATTAACCAAAAAATATCTTTTGTTGGATAAAAATAATGTTAATGTACACAAAGAGAGCATATTCACAATTAAGACTAGTATTTATATAATTCTGAATACGCAAAATCATCCATCAAAATATTAAATCTGTAGTTTGTGGCTGCTAACGAAAGACGACTTCACCGTCATTTTTGGGTCCCGAAATCATGTTTACTGCAGCGATAGCAAGAAAGATAGTTAGATACAAGAAGATAGATAGATAAATTCACTGGCGCCATTTACCGCTGAAGATAGATAGATAGCACACTATCGCTATTGGTAAAAAAATCGCGCTTGTGTTTTATTGGATAAAAATCCTAATGGACAGGTGAAACTAGAGTGTCAGTAAGGTATAGATCAATGAATTTCCTATTTACTTGGAATAAAATAGGAGGCTGAAGTTAAATTAATTACTGGATTTTTCTTTAAAATTCAGTTAGTATAACCTATTACTTAAGCTTCTAAAAAGGCTTGATTTAAGCATATTAAATGCCAACTCTTAAATGATTCAAATCATTCAAGAACAAAATTTATATTTCACAATTCAGAGATAGTATTCCGCGTTTCTAAATCTTGCCAAAAAAGCAAATCCGCCCAAAATTAATTAGATCTTACCTAGTCTGTTCCTATTTTCATTAAACTTTTGAATGATGTTCAACAAATATTTTGGTAAGAAATTTTGTTTGTAATGTTTATATTATTTATTAAACAATTCTTCAATGAAAAGGTGTGTTTGTTACGAATAAGAGATAAAAGAAAATATTGGAATATCCATATGATAAAGATAGATTGCGCATAAGACGACAATTTACATCTTGAAAGATATAATGTACAGAGATGTTTTAAAGATATTCCTATTATATAGATTAACTAGGTCGGTTGTAAAAATTAGCTGTTCTTATGTCTTTGAGTACTTGTGGTGTACATGAGCTCTGTAGAGAGAAATTTAAGTTAGTTTAGTCCTTCTCATGTCCTTCTTCAGTTCTCGTCAATATGATATATTTGCTCAGTGAAATATTGTTGTTCAAATAGTTCCATTCCCGGAGTTATTTTACACTCTATTAAAACACCAAACCACCCCAATTATCATTGAAGTACACTTTGATCCCTAGAAGTATGAGTTCGCGGCCTGTACAATTCTTGGTGGTTTTGCGTACATAAGCTACAGGGTGTCCCACGAAACATGACAGTATGCAAGACGACTTGAATATCGTCTTGATTTTTTATAAAATTTGCTGCATTTACTTGTAAACCTAATTTTAGAAGTGAATTTCTAGAGATAATAATCACAAAATTCCCCTGGTCCTGCAATTTCCTAAATGTGGTCTGCATTTTTTGTGCTTTCAATATTGCCCGAGATATGAACAATTTCGTTCAGATTTTGACAATTTTGCTTTTATTTAACAAAATTGAAATCTGAACCAAACTCTTTATATCTCCGGTAATATTGAAAGCACAAAAAACGCAGACCACTTTTTGGAAGTGCCAGGGCTAGGAGAATTATGTGATAATTGTTTCAAGAATCATACATATTAAAGTAGATAGAAGACTAAATGTCACAAATAAATTCAAATATCAAAGACGACTTTCAAGTCGTCTTGCTATTGTCATGTTTCGTGGGACACCCTGTATCTATGTTTATTTATTTATCTACGGGAATATCAATGTCGTTTAATAGCTGAACAGAATGTACAACTATTAGAGATTCCTTCTAAATCATTTAACAAACAATAAAAAGTTGGTAGCCCTAGGGCTAGAAGTAAAGTTTGCTCGTATAGTGTAGGTTTTGATAGGCAACGTGCCAAATGTTTTTTCACAGAAGCGCCGTTAAACATGTCCCTTTAGTTAATATCTTTACCAAATTGAGTTAGATAGTAAAATACTGATAAACTATTTTCATATTTATCTAACCTTGAGGCTTCCCATACTCTGCACAGACACTAAGAATAACATAATATAAAAATACTAAGAATAACATAATATAAAAATACTAAGAATAATATAATATAAGAATACTAAGAATAACATAATAATTATAATGAAAATTCTATTTGAAGTATTTCAATTTAACCAAAAATATTATCTTATCTTAAGTTTCCAGAATTGCCCCTTTTTCTGAAAAAAAGACTCCTGAGAGTTATTAGTCAATCTGGACAGCTATTACTCAGGATCAAATGTCGCATTTTTTCACGGTTTACATGTACATTATACATCTTCTTTTAGTGTCACAATTCAGCCAGCATACCTAACGTACTCAAAAACCATTCTATAACCTCTGTCTACACCTTGAGAAATCTAAGACGATTGTTAATAAAAGTTTCAGTTCTAGTTCAACTACTTCTCGTTATTCATTATTTAAAAGAGCTAAATCTTTGCCACAATCTCCAATTTTTTAATAGATATTTCTTTGTAACGTGATGGTGAAAACTGTAAACCATCGATCTTTGAAGCCTAAAGAATATTTGATTACACAGAATTCATAGTTTAAAATATCAAAGGTCTACGACATTGGGTTGGATTAGAAAAATTAGAGCATGTGGCTAAGACTCCATTTCTTTCAATTTCTTTGATCCCAAAAGCAGTTTTAGAAATAATCAGTTATGAGTGACACAATCCGTCACGACATTTTATGCCACTGTTTTAGGATAATCACTGCTTTTAAACTGAACCTAATCTTTGTTGCAATGAGTGTTGAAAGTATAAGAAGAAGAATCATGTTGAAGAGAGAACCAAAAACTGGAAACCTTGGACAAGGAACCATATTGTCTAAAAGTTTTATAGTTTGCATGTATGGAATAGATACAAGAACTCTTACAATATATGTAAAGGAATTGATTTTTTGTCACAAACTCTGATTTTTTAATCCCTATATCTTTACATTTCAATGTCAGAGACCCTAAATATTTCAAACTATGAATTATTTTAGATCAAATGATAATAGTTTGAAATATCAAAGGTTAACACCATCAGGTTGCAAAGATATAGCGATTTGAAAATCAGAGTTTGTGGCTAAAGCTAAGTTCCTTTAAAGATTTTCACTGATTTAAACAAATTGTTAAAAAGGATGTTGTCTACACAAAACTGAGAAATTGTAACACAAGACGCGTATGTTTTCTCAGTTAAAATCAGTTGATTTATTGCAAGGTGCACCCTCTGTAGTTTTCTAAAAATAATTACCAATGTATTATCTTTCTTAGTGGAAAATGTGATGGTTCTACTTTAGAAAACTTGAGTCAGTTGTATTTGATCTTGTTCCATGTACACTGTATGGTTTGGTTTGGTAAAAAATAAAATTAAAGAGACTGTTTAAGCGTAATTTAAAGTGACCCTTCATGAAAAAAATGACAATTCCTGATTTACAACTGTACAATGGCGGTATCAGGATTTTAGATAGGGGGTGGGGTAACCCCCCCCCCCCTATTGCTAAAAATTTCAATTACAGTTTCTTTTACCCTTAAGTAAAGGGTAGGCATGAATAATCCATTTATTTACTTTAAATCGATATAAACAAAATATGTATTATGGATTGAACTTTATACATTAACATTATAAATGTACTTACCATATCACATTATACTAATGAAGGGGGAATTATTTTTTATTTCCAGCTATTATTATTTCCTTTAGTAAAAAAAGCTTCTTAAATCATGCTAATTTATTTGTTTATTTTTAGAGTTACAAATAAAAGTATACCATAAGAAGGCTAAAAGTAAATTAAGAAAATATTCTTGGGCCGCTTGAAATAAAGACATTTGAAACACTGTCGTCCAAAATTGAGGCAAGTCACTTTGAGTGCATCGCCATTCTTCACAGGTTGACCAACCTGTCGGTGGTCATAGATGACCTGTTCCAGGTAAAAAGCCTTTGATTAAATCCCTCCCCTAATTTAACTCAGGGGAGGGGGGGTTAGTGGAATGCACCCCCCCTCCTGAAACCGCTTGAGCAACTGCACCCTTAAAACCTTTATCTGATCAATAATGTGGAAGAAAAGATTGTTTTTCTAGTTAAATTCTGATAATTCCTTTTTATTTTCCTACAGTATAGAAATGATCAAGTCACTTTTGTGGAGAAATCCCATTTGAAAATAATCAGGAGATATTCTGAATTATAAACATTGATATCTAATTTATTCTTGAGCAAACAAAGCTTTTAAGGGTACCGTTGTGAATCAGACATTGCCGTATTTTAATGGGTCACTCAAAATAACAGTTCCTTTAAAGTGAACCAAATTAGCAAGTCAGAGCCGCTACATGTCTCATGTCAAATTCTTATCTGATAGATAGATAATTCATGCGACCACAGTACGACCACAATTAAGAGATGTCATCATGGTCGATCACTGTGATGCTGAAAGGAATGGCCTCTGACCAAATTGACAAGCTATTAGTTTTACTGAGACAATCGATCTGACTTTCAATATTATCTTGCTTTTTACATTATCATTTACAGAAAGGGATGTTATTTTACTTAATTTTTCCAATTGGAAGTTAAGTAACATAACGATCCACTGTTGGAGAATCAGGAGTTGTATTTTTGGTCAAAAGGTTGTAAATAATATCATTACTCCTTGTTTCATGTTTGTAACAATAATTCTACATTTTTCATGTATTCGACAAGATTAAAATTAGGAAGAGTGTTTATCAATTTGATTTGTCAGGTTAGAATTATATTGATGATTAATTTCTTTATATTTCTATGTTTCTATACAAAAGTAGAACTACAATCAAGACAGTATAAATAAGCAACATTATGTACTAGAATACTGAAATAGAAAGCCAGGTGAGGCATTATATGGCGTATGCATGATATGATAGAGAAACTTGACAATGTATGTGTTTAGACTGTCAACAGGATTCGATCTTTTATTAAACTAGAGTTTTTTTTAAAGGTTTGATCAAGAGATCATTTTTTTCCGTAGGGTGTCGGAGAAGGGTGGTAGGGAGCGGGGGAGGGATGATAGGGAGCAGGAGAGGGGTGGTAGGGAGCAGGGGAGAGGTGTCTGTATTCAGATCTGGATTCAGGTTGATACACAGGTTCAGGATGATATGAAGGTTCAGGATGATATGAAGGTTCAGGATGGTAGGAGGAATCTGTCAGATATGGTTTTGGTGTGTATCCGTAGTTTGGCTGGTACGGGTTGGTTTTGTAAGCTGGTGAGTATGGATATGTATGAGGTTGGTATCCGTATGGCTGAGGAGGTTTAACATGGCAACTGCATGAAATTGGGAGTTTAAAGCTGTCGATATGCAAACCCTCTTCATAGGTATATGCAAGCAACCTAAAAAATATACTTTGAAGAGGAACTGAATTTTCTTATCCCTATATCGTTGCAACCTGATGTTGTAAATTTTTGATTTTCACATTTTCACTATTTGGTGCAGAAGAATTTCTATTTTGAAATGTTAAAGACCTGCATCACTGGGTTGCAAAGATTTAAGGATTAAAAATCTAAGTTTTCATTTCCTTGGGATAAAAGTTGAAAATACTAAAGCTTATTTTGTTAGTTGAGAGTAATGAAAATTTGCTGTAAACTATATATAAGTTTATCCTTCATATACCTGACAAAATTATGTTTCTGAAGACAGGATGAGTAGTAAGAAGAATCTATAAAGCTACAAGGTGCTCCAGGATACATACACTGTTCCAGTCTCTGGGTCTGGGTATACTTCTCATACCCAATGCCATACCCTGTTTATGATTTTTAAATTATTTAATTTATGTAAAAATGTTTTTGGTACTATTTTTAACCAAGACTTATAACCAAAAAAATTTCTGTGCAAATTTAAAAATATTTCACTGAAAACAAATCTACTGAATAGTAAGAAGTAGTTTATCTGAGTAGACTGAGTTGAACCACATCTTTTTTTTCAAATAAAGAAGTGGTTTAACATAGCTTACGTAGTTAAAACACTTGTAGATATTCATTAAATTTGACTCTGAAAAGGTTTTTTTTTTGTATTTTATTTTGAAATATTTTGTACCTTTGGCATAGTACTCATCCGGTAGATTCACAATAACTTTCCATTTACCGTAGGTGTTAACAGCACGCTTAGGCCTGAACAAACAACATGAAACCTAAACAACTTTGAAACCTAAACACTATGAAACCTAAACATTTTGAAACCACACCATAAAACCTTAACACCATAAAACTCAAACACACAGAAACTTCAGCACCATGAAACCTAAACAGCATGAAACCTAAACACACTATGAAACCTAGACATGCATAAAACCTTAACACAATAAATCCTAAACACCATAAAACATAAACACCATGAAACCTGAACAACATGAAACCTAAACAACATGAAACCTAAACACTATAAACCTAAACTCCATAAAACCTAAACATCTTGAAACGTAAACACCATAAACCTTAACACCATGAAACTTAAACATCTTGAAACCTATAAACACAATGAAACCTAAACTCCATGAAACCTAAACACACAGAAATCTAAAAACCATGAAACCCAAACTAACACACGTTGCAACCTGTGGCGCATTCTGTTAGTGCAGATGTTAGTTAACAAGCTCCTTTAAAGAGCATTATAGGCAACTTAACTCAGGGTCAAATCAACATATGGACATCTTTATCCGTCTTGTCTAATTCATCCATTTATCCATTTATCTCCGGAGTCAAAATATGTCAATCTTCCTACCAAGCATTCATCATTCCATGATCATATTCATTCACTCCATTTTTCTTCCAATTCATCCTTTTATTTCCCAATACATTCTTTAATCTCTAAATACATAATTTTATCTTCCAATCTATCGTTTAGTCTCTAAACTGATCATTTTATCTCCCCATCCATCCAATTATCTCCCAATCCATGCTTTTTATCCCTCAATCCATCCTTTCATCTCCAAATCTATTCATTTATGTCTCGGTCCATCAATTTTTCTCCCATTCCATCCTCTTATTTCCCAATTTATCCTAAATCCCTACATCTCCCATTGCCCAGCCCATCCTTTTATCTTCTAATTCATCCTTTCGTCTCCCAATCCATCCTTTTATCTCTCAATTCATCCTTTCGTCTCCCAATCCATCCTTTGATCTCCCAATTAATCTTTTCGTCTCCCAATCCATCATCCGATCAATCTTTTCATCCGTCCCATCCCTATTTATTATTTACTTATTATTTTTATAAACAACAAAATGTTTAGAAACGGTTAAAATACTAATTTTAGAGATGGAATAAATTGTATTTCAGTTAAATAAATGATTTTACCTGCCATAGAATATATCTGAGGGACAGATAAACCCTCCTGCTTTATAATAGTCCTGGGCGTAGGAGTAACCACTGAAATTTTCATTATTATTAAAAATGAGAAAAGTTTAAAATATATATCCTCGTCATATATGTTTTAAAACGATTAAAAGATCCTTTTTTATTAAAAGTTTTTCTCTCTTTCTTTTTGCGTATTCTTTGCGTATATTTGAGGTTCAAGTTCAAGTATATCTGTCTGCATTGTTTAATGTTTAAATTACAACAGGTTTTGCATATGCTGAAAACCGCAAAACACAAACTCCACAACAGCTGTTGCGGAAAAATTCGCTAATTTTACAGTATACAGAAAACAAAATATATTTAAAAATACTAAGAATAGGTAAGCTTGAGTAGGGAACTTTTAAATAGTTAGAATAAATTAAACTCGTTCTCTTCACGTTGGGAGATTAACCAATCCCCGTCAAATGAAAGACTAAATACGGGTAATCTTCTACCTAAGTAAAAATAAATAAAAAAAAGCAATTTATCAAAAAGCATCCCAAAAACGAGGATTTTAGATTATTCTAGAATTCTCCAATAGAGGATTTGAACCTTAATTAGTTAACAATTCTAAATTCGATTTATTTAAAAAAAAAATAGGAGAATTTGTTTTTTTAGCTCATTATAGTTCCGTAGAAACATGTAGTTTTAGAAAATAATTGTCCCCGGGTTGGACACAACAAAAACTCTTGATTTCCTTCAGCCCTAAATTATGAATTGACTTTATGCACGCGGCTATGCTGTTTATTTTCCTAATTTTCCCTTAAACCGATTTTAACTCCCTAACCACTAGTTATAGTATAAATCTAAGACTATGTATATGTTCCGCTCCAAAATTTTGAAGAGTAAATGTGTTGTTAATACTTAGTTAGGATGAATATCAATGGAGATATTCACATTTTAGTCATTTAAAATATGTCACAGACATTTTTCCTCCGTCACTAAAATGCAATTTATTTCCATAAAGTGGCTAGAAAGTAGAAACATTTGGATTGCAGTGGTTAAGTACTTACCAGACGTACACCTAACTGGGGTTTATAGCCATTTTTTGGTATTTGGCTTCAGGACAGCTGTTAAAAATATATATATATCTATATAATAAAACAAGACAATCGTATATATATGTTCCTTATAGCCGGTCAAACGGCCGGCTGGACCGAATGGGCTGAATTTTTTGTGAACACTCATAGGTAGGTGGATTACAAAAATTGATAATATATATAAAGAATTAAGGGTACAGGGGAGTACACAAACAAATATTATATACAAGGATTAAAGGGTACAGAAGAGTAAGTATAATGATCTTATAAAAGGATTAAAGGGTACAGGGAGTACACAAACTAATATTATATAAAAGGATTAAAGGGTACAGAAGAGTAAGTTTAATTATCTTGTAAAAGGATTAAAGGGTATGGTGGAGTACACTAATCGATATTATATAAAAGGATTAAAGGATACAGAAGAGTAAGTATAATGATCTATAAAAGGATTAAAGGGTATAGAAGAGTACACTAACTAATATTATATAAAAGGATCAAAGGATACAGAAGAGTAAGTTTAATGATCTTATAAAAGGATTAAAGGGTATAGTGGAGTACACTTATCGATATTTTATGAAAGGATTAATGGGTACAGATAGTAAGTAAAATGATCTTATAAAAGGATCAAAGGATACAGAAGAATAAGTTTAATGATCTTATAAAAGGATTAAAGGGTACAGTGGAGTACACTAATCGATATAATCTGAAAGGATTAAAGGATACAGAAGAGTAAGTTTAATGATCTTATAAAAGGATTAAAGGGTACAGTGGAGTACACTAACTAAAATTATATAAAAGGATTAAAGGATTCAGAGGAGTAAGTTTAATGATCTTATAAAAGGATTAAAGGGTACAGTGGACTACACAAACTAATATTATATAAAAGGATCAAAGGATACAGAAGAGTAAGTTTAATTATCTTATAAAAGGATTAAAGGGTATAGTGGAGTACACTAATCGATATTATATAAAAGGATTAAAGGATATAGAAGAGTAAGTATAATGATCTATAAAAGGATTAAAGGGTATAGTGGAGTACATAAACCGGATAATGTATAACGTATTAAAGAATAAAAAAACTGATCTATAAGGGATTAGAGGGTAAACTAAATAATCTTACTGATAATCCTCTCCATAGATCTGATGTTTCTTGTCTCCGTAGTAGTGCTCGTAGGTGTACCCCTCCTCCTCCAACTACAGTATAAACTATGTAAGTAAACTGAGCCCGAAATTTAAAAGAGTATCGTTGAACGAAACTCCCGAGTTTCCTTTTTGGGGTCTTGGCAATTGTGTAGATTTTGATTTAAGAAATTTTAAAAAATGAAGAATATGAAGAAACTTAATAAAATAATATTTCACAACAAAAATATTGATATCCACAAAACTGCCTAACCCCATTCTTGAAACCCGGGTTTCAAAACTGGTTTTCATAACGATACCCTGTCTTAAGTTTTGGGCTCTGTACACTGAACACTGTACACAGTACAACAGTTTAATTGTACAATTATACACTTAGATCCTATACCTTTTAAACCCATAAATATCATAGAGAATAGAATATATAGAGAGGAATTAAAAGAATCTCTCGGTATGAATTTTTTCAGTCCCTTTCAGCCTGAAAGGGAGTTCAAAGTGTACAAATCATGTAAATGTTCACAAATTATATGCAGTAGAGTACATTAATACAGTATGTTCCCTAGACTATCCATTTCAATTTTTAATTTTTTAAACTGTTAAATAAACTTTATAATGAATTAGGTGAATAAAAACATCATTTGATTTATAGTTATAACGGAAAATCATCGTTTGTAAAGTGGAAGGCATAGAGTCTATGTGAAATGATCATTGGTCAATTATGAAACCAGCCTATTTCATAATTTGGGTTTCTTTTAACAATAATTTTAGATTTTCTATATAATGATATTCCAGGGCCCAACAGGTTATATAGCATAAATATGTGAAGTACACCTGCAGTATGGAAACAGTACAACAAAATGGCCGTTTTACACTTTTTTCTAGTAAATTCCTCTCTATATATTCTATTCTCTATGATAAATAACCTTGGTAAGCCCATCTGCTAGATTATCAGCTGATTGATAATATATTAGCTTGGTAAACCCATTTTCAAGTTTATCATCTGACGGATAATATATATCCTTGGTATCCCCATCTACGTGATTATCAGTGGACTGTTAATATGTTCCCTGGTAAGCCCATCTACAAGATTATCAGCTGACTGATAATATATTACCTTGGTAAACCCATCCACTAGGTTATCAGCTGACTGATAATATATTACATTGGTAAGCCAATCTACATGGTTATCAGCTGACTGATTACAGAATACCTTGGTGAACCCATGCAACATGGTTATCAGCTGACTGATAATACATTACCTTGGTAAACCCATGCAACATGGTTATCAACTGACTGATAATATATTACCTTGGTAAGCCCATCCACTAGATTATCAGCTGACTTATAATATATTACCTCGGTAAGCCTATCCACTAGGTTATCAGCTGACTTATAATATATTACCTTGGTAAACCCATCAATATGATTATTAGATGACTGATATATATGTTACCTTTTTAAGCTCATCCACTAGGTTATCAGCTGAATGATAATATATTACCTTGGTAAGCCCATCCACTAGGTTATCAGCTGACTGATAAGTAATATCTGATAAAAGACGATCAACCAAGGGTCTATTTCGTTCTAATTCATGCTTGATCGTATCCCTGAATAGAAATATATTGTTTTATATTGCGGACTTTATATTAATAAGATTGTTCACTTATGTTTTCAATTAAAGATTAAACCAAGTTACCTTTCATTCTTTAAATAAGGATTCTTATCCTGATTATTAAAGTTTAGAGAAAGAAATTGAGTCTTAATAACAAACTAAAATTTTCGAATTTCTATATCTTTTCAACCTGACGGTGTAAACCTTTCATATTTTAAACCTAGTTTTTTTGTTCTAACATAATTCATAGTTTAAAATATCTCAGGACTACAACATTTCACATTGGATTTCAAAGATATAAATATGAGAAAATTTTTGCAAAGACTCAATTCCTTTTTCTCAGATGATATTAGTACGACTTTCTGAAGTTGTAAAATCGTTACAATTATCATATTATAGGTAAAACTCATTTACAGGCATCAACGCAATGATTATCTTGACAGAATATTATACCAGGGGGGCACGAAGGGGGGGGGGGGCACGAAGGGGGGGCATGCTCCCCCGCTCCCCCGCCCCCCCCATACGCATGGGGGCTCTTTTAATATTACATCTACTTGCATTTCCCTTCCTCAGGCAATCTACATTCTAAATTACACTGCATTGCATTACATTGCACTCACCCAAACTAAAAGATTAAAAAAGAAATGATTCACAATAATACCTTTCAAAGGTTTCTCTACAAAAGGGACTCGCGCATTTCATGCTTCAGAAACGAAAAGGTACATTGGACATGCCACTCTATAAATGGAGCTGGTCACTTGAAAGTACGCATGTATTCCATTTAAGTATCGTACAAACACCGTATAAAAAAAATACTTTAAAATCTCACGTTTGCCTTTTTTTTATAAACTTAAAAAATTATTGATCGGAAATGTTAAAAAGAATCAATGATAAATATCATATTATATGATATATCTACAATTAAAATATTTTATGCATTTTTCAGTTAAATTATTCTCTAGGTTTTCTCACGATTCTTTATCTTCTCTTGACGTACGTAATAAATCCGTAAAATTGATATTTCTTTACTGATTCAAGGAATTTTTAAAAAACTCATAAAAAATTGGTGTTTTTCATACTTACACTGGATAGTAATCATCTTGCAGACAGAAGGTGATATTGTAGTAATGCTTGTTTGCATAAGCACATTCAGGTATCTTGGTCATATCATACTGGTAGGGTTTATATTCCTAAACATATCATACTGGTAGGGTTTATATTCCTAAACATATCATACTAGTAGGGTTTATATTCCTAAACATATCATACTAGTAGGTTTTATATTCCTAACATATCATACTAGTAGGGTTTATATTCCTAAACATATCATACTAGTAGGGTTTATATTCCTAAACATATCATACTAGTATAGTTTATATTCCTAAACATATCATACTGGTAGGGTTCATATTCCTAAACATATCATACTAGTAGGGTTTATATTCCTGAACATATCATACTGGTAGGGTTCATATTCCTAAACAAATCATACTGGTAGGGTTTATAATCCTAAACATATCATACTGGTAGGATTCATATTCCTAAACATATCATACTAGTAGGGTTATTTTCCTAAACATATCATACTGGTAGGGTTCATATTCCTAAACAAATCATACTGAAAGGGTTTATATTCCTAAACATATCATACTGGTAGGGTTCATATTCCTAAACATATCATACTGGTAGGGTTTATATTCCTAAACATATCATACTGGTAGGGTTCATATTCCTAAACATATCATACTAGTAGGGTTTATATTCCTAAACATATCATACTGGTAGGGTTTATATTCCTAAACATATCTATGCATATCTATATTTATCAACAAATTACAATAGTATAGGGTTGTAGACCATAAATCTTATCTTTAAACCTTTCTTTAATAGATGTCGTCTCCAGAACCGAAACCAAACCCAACCTCCTTCGTAAATAGACACTAAACCCGTGGAAAGTGAAAATATGTTTAAATGTAGAAATGCTTAAAATTTCGTCATTATCGCTGCAAACAAAAATTTTGTAACCAACTGGGTATTTATTTTTCTGAAGTCACATTCTACTGATCCTATAGACCCCTCATATTCTCCTACCTACCTAATACTAGTAAGTTGTGTTTATCTAGGGTTTCCACGAAATGGCTAAATGTTTTGCGCAAAATTTGCGCTATTTTCGCGCAAATTTTTTTTGCGAACTTTTGCGCTATTTTTGCGCATGAAACGCAATGAGTTTTGCGCTAATTTTTCTGCGCAATTTGCGTAAAACCGGAAATATTTTTTGCGAAAGTTGCGCATGAAACGAAATTTTAGTTTTGCGCAATTTTTTTTGCGCAAAACCGCAAGTTTTACGCAAAATGTAACTTTTTAGGCAAATTGTCAAAAATTGATATTCTAAGCTTAGCATTAAACAACTGAAGAATTATTCCATACATATATACAAAATATTAACATACGAGTATGATAACGATTATACTACACTCAATTGGTTAATTCCAGTTACAAAAAGTTTAAATTAAGGGACCAAAATTAATAAAATAGAAATTAGAGAGTGTGAAACTTGGCAATATTTTTATCCTATTAAATAATTTCAAGTGACCCTTAAAAGCTTTGCCTAATCACGTATCTTAAATTTTTTTAATCAAATTTTTGAAATCTTTTTAATCTCATATAAAATAATGCAAGAAAGTAACCAATGCCTGAAGAATCCACTTTTAGGAAATATGCATGTCCAAAACTAAAATTGTCGAGACTTTTACTTGACAATCTGTTTCGGATTTTAGTACGAAATTGCGGAATTCCGCAAAACTTGAGTTTCGCAAAAGCGGGATAAGGCAATTTTGCGCGAAATAACTTTTGCGAATGATTGCGCAAATTGTTGTTTTTTCGCGCAAAACTGATGCGCAAAGAAAGAAAAATTTTGCGTTTCGTTCCGCAAAAATTGCGCAAAAATTTTGCGAATGGAAACCCTATGTTTATCAAATATTATAACGATTTATATCAACATTTTGCCTACATATTATTAAATATTGTTATTTATGTCCATGTTTTATATACCTGTAATTTATTACAGGTTTGAAATACAGATTTTTTCGTTTTTGAGACTATGGAAGCGTAATGGAAAGAGAGGATATCAGCCAGCTTTCGAGCATCTATCAACCCTTCACTCGGATTATCAACCTTAGAACAACCTATCAACCCTTCACTCGGATTATCAACCTTAGAACAACCTATCAACCCTTCACTGAGATTATTAACCTTAGATCAACCTATCAACCCTTCACTCGGATTATTAACCTTAGATCAACCTATCGACCCTTCACTTGGATTATCAACCTTAGAACAACCTATCAACCCTTCACTCGAATTATCAACCTTAGATCAACCTATCAACCCTTCACTCGGATTATCAACCTTAGATCAACCTATCAACCCTTCACTCGGATTATCAACCTTAAGACAACCTATCGACCCTTCACTGGGATTATCAACCTTAGAACAACCTATCGACCCTTCACTCGGATTATCAACCTTAGAACAACCTATCGACCCTTCACTCGGATTATCAACCTTAGAACAACCTATCGACCCTTCACTCGGATTATCAACCTTAGAACAACCTATCGACCCTTCACTGGGATTATCAACCTTAGATCAACCTATCAACCCTTCACTCGGATTATCAACCTTAGATCAACCTATCGACCCTTCACTTGGATTATCAACCTTAGAACAACCTATCAACCCTTCACTCGAATTATCAACCTTAGATCAACCTGTCAACCCTTCTCTCGGATTATCAACCTTAAATCAACCTATGAACCCTTCACTGGGATTATCAACCTTACAACTACCTATCGACCCTTCACTGTGATTTTCAACCTTAGAACAACCTATCGACCCTTCACTCGGATTATCAACCTTAGAACAACCTATCGACCCTTCACTCGGATTATCAACCTTAGATCAACCTATCGACCCTTCACTCGGATTATCAACCTTAGATCAACCTATCGACCCTTCACTCGGATTATCAACCTTAGATCAACCTATCGACCCTTCACTGGGATTATCAACCTTAGAACAACCTATCGACCCTTCACTCGGATTATCAACCTTAGAACAACCTATCGACCCTTCCCTGGGATTATCAACCTTAGATCAACCTATTTAGATAAACCTATCGACCCTTCCCTGGGATTATCAACCTTAGATCAACCTAGAGGCCCTTCACTGGGATTATCAACCAATCAACCTAGAGGCCCTTCACTGGCATTATCAACCAATCAACCTAGAGGCCCTTCGCTGGGATTATCAACCTATCAACCTAGAGGCCCCTTTGTTCTTCTACAAGGGTTTATGTTCCAAGATATATATTAAAATCCCTACAGCAATCATTCTACAAGGAATTACGATTACGACTTTTCAATCTCCTCAAGTTTAAATGTTAAGCCAAAGGTTGCGAAAAGTGGGCTCATTTCGTTGTTTACAAATCAGGCCCCATAACCCATATATTTTCAATAGTATTTTAATAAAAAGAGAATCAAAACAATCAACGAACAAAAATAAACTAAATTACTACCTGTAGTTGGTGTACTGGAGTAGGTGGATGGTGAGGAAGACCGTATGGTTGTTCAGGGTGTTGAACACGATGATGTAGAGCCGGAGGATGGGAAGGGTCAGGGTAAGGACCAGCAAATGGCTGAAAACAAAGAATTGCATAGATAATATCATTTACTATTTATGTTTGTTAATATCCAACACCAACCAACTATCTTTATGTCGTCAAACTAATTTTTTAGATAATATTTAAGATCAAAATTCTAATTGTGTTTAAAAATAAGCCATTATTATTCACAAAAAAGCTTCTAAGGCGCTTCACGCCCATCAAAATCTTTGTTTAATGTTACAAAAAACAAGAAAACATATTTTCCGGTTTTATTAAAAATTTATTTTGAAAAATTAAATTTCATGGGGACTTGGAATTTTAATTCTAATCTAAAAATACTAGAAATTCAACGCACTTCGCGCCCTTCTTTCTAGGCTTTTAGGGCGCTTCGCGCCCATCTTCTATTTAAATTATGAACATGTTCTCTTTGTTTACATTTCAAAACAAAGAAGGAAAATTTGTTGCGGATTTAAAAAAAAATTGCGGATTTTCAAGAATTAAATTTTTTTTACAAATTTAAAAACCTTTAAAACACATTTTTTTTTATTATTCCCTGTGGTCACGTGATGTCCCACACAAAATTTGGGCCCGAAAGGTTCAGCCGTTTTGACGTTTATTGGATACAAACAAACAAACACCCAGACAGACAAGCCAAATTTATATATAGATGAACCGATGAATCGGTATTTATCTGGGGTTTCGAGAAAAATTAAAATTGCGAAAAAAAGGTTCAAACTAAATAAAGGAGAATTCAGAAAGAAAAAAAATGAAATTAAATCGTATAAAGATTATGATTATACATTTTACCAGTTATTTGAAAAATTAAAAAATAATGTTTAAAAGCTCAGTCTCCGGTGGTCTCAACTCTAACGTTCCAAGCAATAAAAGACTTATTTTTGTATCCATCATAATATTTGTTATCTTCAAACAATAAGATAAATCCTTGACATTTACTGATTCATTATCTTGTCTAGTATTTATCATTTCTAAATACATCCTCAATTTATCTTTTATTTTTTTATTGTTAAAATTACACGATTGCTGTCAAAACAATAAGCGTATAAATGTTAGCCATGACTTCCGTGACAAGAATTTCACGCATGTCAACGCGAACCGATAAAGAATTACATTGACAAGTCATCGAACTGATTTATATTTCATAAATAGCCCTATACACAACACCAATTCAATCTACAAAGGAATTGAGTTTTTGCCACAAAGTCTGAGTTTATAATCACTTTATCTTTGGAAACAAATGTTGGAGACCTTAGATATTTCAAACTATGAATTCTGTTAGATCAAATAATCTGAGTTGGAAATATCAAAGGTTTACAACATCGGGTTCTAAAGATATTGAGGTTTAAATATTTGATTTTGTTCCAAAGACTCAATTCTTTATCATTAATAAATCATTTCTGTAAACTATTTCCCTGTTTTAAAGTTAGAATTTTATCAATGATTAGATACTTCATATATGAAGATACCACACATATATTAAATAATTTCTGCAGGTAATACAGAGGGTCCCATATCATATCGAATGATCTCAAAGCTCTAACGCTAAGATACGCACATAATACACGAAGAACCTAGAATTTTCTGCAAACAAATTTTTACATTAGCCTTATACATATGGTTTTAAATGATTCATTTTTATTTTAATTTTATGATTAGTCCCTTGAATCTCAATTCAGAGCTTTAAACGATCTAATATGATGTTGGACGGCGTTTCTTTAATCTTTTGCATCATGTGATCTATATATATACTTTGCTATTCTGTTTGACTGTTTGTATCCAGTAAACGTCAAAACGGCTGAACTGGTCCGGCCCAAATTTTGTGTGGGACCTTACATGACCCCATGGAAGGTTTATGGATGATCAAAATTTTAAAAATTTTTGTTTAAAAGTTTTTTTATTTTGAAAAATTAAAAAAAAAAATGCGCGAAAAAATATTTTGAAATCCGCAAACTTTTTCTTTTATACTGTACAAAGGGAAGATGCTCACAGACAAAGCCACAAGTAAAAGTTGAAATAAAAGACGGGCGCGAAGCGCCGTAAAAGCCTTTCATATATACGTGAATACAATGATACAATAATGCAAAATTTCGCAGATTTTTCTGTTATTGGGGACATTTTTGTTGTGGGACATATAGAATCATGACATGTGGTAACTCCTTGGATTAAGAAATTGTTGGGCCCAATCGGTTCTGCCGTTTCATCACATCTCGGCAAAAACAGAAAAAACAAACAAACAAGATTATATTTAGAGATGATAATGACGAACAGTTCTATATGTAGTTGTATGGCATCTTGGAACCAGAAGATAAAAAGTTGAACATATGGTCTCTTCACGGACATTATATAATTAAATAATTTGATAATTCACAGATCAATCAATCAGAAATTACGCGGGGGACATTTTATATATTTATATTCTTCACTCCTTGTACCATTCTAATAAGGGCGTTTAAGGAGACTTTCGTTGTAAATTCTCTAGATTCAGAAAACTTGTTGTTTTTGTTGAAAACAGACGCTCGCTGCAAAAGGGACTTTATACACGTAAACGCAGATGACTCTGCAAGAACTTGCATGTCCCATTCATAATGGTACCCTGGAAAGCTTTGTTTCATTTAGAGTTGATAAGAAATATTTTTGAAAATTGATTTAAAATAAAATTTTGGTTAATCTACTCAAGTTACTTTCGCGCCGCTTCTGAAGAAAAATGAAGGAAGTTGTCAAAATTAAACACTTTTCAGGATAAAAAAACACGATATTTTCCCCCATTAATTCCGATAAAGGTTTACCTTATTTTCGATTATTAATATTATTAGACAAATCTGTCAATTTTTTATTTTTTTTTTAGAATTTATTTTACCTGATAATCTCTATCCTGGGTCCTCAGCGCATCATGGAGTTCTTTAGGTCCGTGTCTTTCATAGGGACTCCGGTATACTGTATCCGATACATAGCTAGCTAGATACAATTCTATTTACAGGTACACTGTATCCGATACATAGCTAGCTAGATACAATTCATTATACAGGTATACTGTACCTGATACATAGCTAGCTAGATACAATTCATTATACAGGTGCACTGTATCCGATACATAGCTAGCTAGATACATTACATTATACAGGTATACTGTACCTGATACATAGTTAGCTAGATACAATTCATTATACAGGTATACTGTATCTGATACATAGCTAGCTAGATACATTACATGATACAGGTATACTGTAGCCGACTGGTAATACATAGCTAGATACTATTTATTATGCAGGCATACTGTAGCCGAGACATAGCTAGCTGTATACCTGATACATTGCTAACTAGATACAATTCTATATACAGGTATGCTGTAGCCGATACATAGCTAACTAGATACAATTCACTATACAGGTGCACTGTATCTGATACATAGATAGCTAGATACATTTATTATACATGTAAACTGTATCAGAAACATAGCTAGCTAGATACAATTCTATATACAGGTATACTGTATTAGATATTTGGCTAGCTGCAATAGATTAACAATAAAAAATTCTGACCTCTGTATATTTACCTGGAGTAAGAGGATAGTGTGCCGGGGCATAAGGACCAGGGGTTGGTGCGTTTGGAGCATAAGGAGGATATCGGGGACTAGGGGACGGGTAGAGAGATTGGGGTAAACTATGTACAACAGATTCCCCCTCCTCTAGATCTTCAGATGCATGTACAGATTTGAGTATATGTACAACTAGAGGCAGGAACTAAAATTAACACAATTTAGGCTTGTTCTTAAAGGGACTGTCAGCATAATTTCAAGTGACCCTGCATGCAAAGGTGGCAATGTCCGATTTACAACGGTATCCTAGAAAGCTTTGCCTGACCAATATTGAATTAGATATCAATGTTTTGTTTCTTTAAACTGCTCGTAGAAATAAACTGTTTGCGAGTCAGAAAAACGACGGTTAACTCCACATTTTTATTAGATTAAGGTTTCAAGGGTACTGTTGTAAATCGGGAATTGCAAACTTTGGATGGAGGGTCGCATAAGCAGTATATGAAACTCTTATATCTGGTGTTTGTAAATTTTTATGTCCTGGCTGGCCGCACCCATGTATGTATCTAATTTAAAACATTTTAAAAACTCTTACTATCAGTAATAATCTAATTTTCAATTTTATTTATAAATATGACAAGCGTGCAGAGCTGTGGTTGAATGGAGTCGCATGAGAAAACATGTACTCCTATTAAACCACTAAAACCAAGCAGATGAAATATTTATCAGACCTGGGAACTTCAGAATGGTGGATATCGGGATTAATGCTTGATCCACTGTTTTTCTTAATCTCAAGACTAAATATTGCTTGTTCTCCCCATGAATATAATCTCCAGATTGATTAACAGATCGGGATTAAGGATATCACATTCTAAAGTTCCCAGCTCAGAAAGAATTTTTTTTTAATAGAAGCTAGGATTTTTTGAATGGTGGATATCGGGACTAATGCTTGATCTCCTCTTTTACTTAATCTTCAGATTATATAATACATGTTCTCTTCTTGTAATTAATCTCCAGATTAATTAACCAATCGGGATTAAGGATATCTAATGGGGTAAATATTGAAATAATTGTCCATTTTATTTGTTCATTTGTTTATTTATTCTCAAGGGGGAGCTCTGGATGGGGATATTGAAGGATAAGGATGAAGGGTTTACTCCAATTTAAACATAAGGAACAAGGTCAACAAGGTCAAATTAATATAGAATTACTGGAAGGACTTCACAACCTTTTAACTCCTTTTATTCTACACCTCTGGATAATAAAAGCAAACGTCAAATATGATTGCCCGAAAAATGTTCGTTGGGAACGCAGTCATCGATATTTTTTGAATATTTTGGAACAAAAACCTAAATGATGTTTGTATAGCGTTCATTGCATGCAATTTGACATTTATTTTTTAATAACTAAATTTTTAGTAACTAAAGTTTCTAGCAATCATGTGTTTAGAAACTAAAGTTTTTAGCAATAATGTCTCTATCGATCATGTTTCTATCGATCATGTTTCTATAGACCATGTTTCTATCGATCATGTTTTGTATTTACCGAGATCATGAGTTTCATGTTTATGTGTGCGTGCACAGTGTTTGAGGTGAGACTTCTTACAATCAACTGACGCGCGTTTCACCCTAGAGTGTGTGCTCTGTATACCTTCAAATCTATCCAAATAAATATATTAATATATAATATCTCATAAATGCTTCTGTCGACATTTATGACGGTTGGTAAACTTCGAAACATCAAAAACCGATCGATCGGAAAGACATCTTTATATGCTTACTTGTTGAATCATTCTTCATTTATCTACAGGAAAAATTTTAATTGTGAATTTTTTGTTTTATTGGATTTTTATAAAGAGTAAAACACTGGCTTTTCGTTCAATTATATTCAGTTTTTTTCGACAATTTTTCCATGATTTCGCCATTTTAAAAATAAAACAATTTTTTTTACTCCATCGGAGGCAGACTTTAAAAAAATCAAACCGCATCGCTGAACCGCCATAAAACGGTTCCAATTGAAACACTGAATACAAATTTAAGTTAAACCAACCATGTTTGAGCCGCGTCTCAAATTGTAGACGCGGCTCAAATTCTTTAAATTCGGTCTCGGGATGATTTAAGGAGGATTATATAATTCGCATAAAGTATAGATCACTTAGTGCATACAAATATATCATTTACTCCCCGAGGGATTCAATGATAAAGTCGTGGGCGCAGTTTATCATTGAATCCCGAGGGGGTTTTAATTTCCATTGATTCTAATTTGTCTGAGAATAAATGACATTCCTTTTTAAAGAGGAGATTCAATGATGCGGATTTTGCGGATTTTTTTTGCCTTTGTAGATTTTAAAAATATCTTTCAATGAAAATATTCTGAGCTGGAAACTTTTGAATGGTGGATATCGGGATTAATGCTTAATCCACTCTTTTTCTTAATCTCCAGAGCTAAACACTTTAGAATGGGATATCCTTAATCCTGATCGGATAATTAATCTGGAGATTAAAAATGAGAGAAGAACAAGCAATATTTATCTCGAGATTAAGAAGAAGAGTGGATTAAGCATTAATCCTGATATCCACCATTCAAAAGTTTCCAGCTCAGGATATTTTCATTTTTTCATATTTCATATTTTTCAATGGTGGATATCGGGATTAAGGCTTAATCCACTCTTAATCTCCAGATTAATATAATCTTGCAAGATTATCTTAAAAGTGTATGAAAAACGATAAAATTCAAATTAATATTTAATCATCTGAGAAACTGTAGCAGCCAATCAGAGAAAAGCGGGCAACCAATGAGAGAACAGAAATATTCTTATTGGAGAAAACAATTAACGGATATCCAAGGAGAGAGAAAAAGAGTGGATTAAGGACTAAAATGAAAAGTTTCCACAGTGGATATTCGGATCAAGAAGTCAGGATTAAAGTTTATCCATTCTAAAGTTTTCAGCTCAGATTAATTAACAGAACGGGATTAAGGATATCCCATTCTAAAGTTTTCAACTTCGGCGGGACTAAATGAAAATTGTTGCTTACCAAAAAACCAGCTTTTTATAAAGGAATATATATTGTTGAAAAAAATCTTATGAAAGTCGAGCTTGAGAATTTAGATTTGCGTCTAAATATACTCTTTCTGTAGAAGTCGATCAAGTCAACTTTAGAAAACTAAACTGAAAACAAGAATTGTTAAAGATTGTTAAATTATACGAGTAGATTAAAACAAGAATTGTTAAAGATTGTTAAGTAAACAACAGTTTGAACCTTTAAGTGAGAAGGGGGGAGACAATTTTCTCTTCAACTAGAAATAATTCTTGGAGGCCCTGGAAAAACAATGGGAAAGTTTTCTCCATGCGTAACAAAATGATAATTTCGACATGAATTTTATAAATTAGATTCTTATGAAAGTTCAATGATATTCAATCAATTCAATTCAATCAGAAGCTACTCGATATCCAGCACATTGAAAAGACCTGTCATGTTTGTATCTTAAATTCTTTTGAAAATAATCCGAAGGTCGAAAAATCTTTGGTTATTTTCCAGAGCTTGAACATAACGAGAAATTTCTCTGAATAATGTACATTCAAATATTGAAGATTTTTGAGATTCAAATTTTCTACATTCTTTTTGATACTCTATAAATGATAATATCGCTCCAAACCAAAATCTGCATGGTCTCACGCCAAAAAAGAGAACAGTATTTGATCAATTACTCCTTTGAAACTAAATCTTGAATTAAACAAGCACGTTGCAATTTTAAATCTAAAAGGTTTAGGCTACAAAAAAGTAAAGTAAGTTGTTGAGGTAAAACCAAAGGCCAATGTGTTGCAACACTTTAAAGTCGAGGCTTCTGAACTTTTCAGAGTTGTTTAGATATCAATGTATAATGAAGAAAAGGTCAAACTGGAGGACTGCTAGCACATGATTTTTTTGGTTACTTTACTAGAATATTAAAACTTCTCTCATCAAGCTCAAATAATTGAGTTAGGGTGAACAATGTAGTATCTTTCCCTACTTTCTGCGTTTACGGAGATCAAAATCAAGATCATTAACCTATTGGTTTTAACATTTCTCATGATTTGTTTAGATGACCACAACTGGAGGCTAGTTTCAGCCTTCTATCTCTATTGTTATGGATTGAATTGCAGATTGGGCAAACTTTATATTTTTTGTTTAAATAATGAAAGATGACCAAATTAAATTTGATTTATTGCCGATTGTTGATAATAATACAAATTAGGGTTTATGGGCAGATATCTTCAAATCCACCAATAATTGCCAGAATCTCGCAGATACAGTGAAGACAGTCACTAGCAGCTCCTAGATTAGATTACAAATATTAGATTTAGAGACATTTTCGGACCGATTAGATTAGACAAATATTAGATTTAGAGACATTTTCGTACCGATTAGATTAGAACGAATATTAGATTTAGAGACATTTTTGGACCAATTAGATTAGAACAAATATTAGATTTAGAGAAATTTTCGTACCAATTAGATTAGACAAATATTAGATTTAGAGATATTTTCGGACCGATTAGATTAGAACAAATATTAGATTTAGAGGCATTTTCGGACCGATTAGATTAGACAAATATTAGATTTAGAGACATTTTCGGACCGATTAGATTAGACAAATATTAGATTTAGAGATATTTTCGGACCGACTTTTCTCACAGTTATTATTTTATCCGGAGGAATTTTGATAAATCCTTCAGATTATTTATATCCTTATAAGTGAGAGTCAATTTTTCTAATTTTCAATCAAACTTTAAATTTCGATAGGATAATGTGGTAAAACCATGGGGAACGTTTTCAGTTTAAAAGTTCTAATCTGAAAAGGTGAACTTTCATAAAAAAAACTTAGTTTCCAGGGAAATCTGGGTTCCTGCAATCTAGTAGTAATATAATGTTGGTAAAAAAAATTCTGAATTAATGCCCTTTACGCTTCTGTGGCTTCTGTGATAAAAATAACCGACTGTAAACCGAGATACCCAAAAAGATGAGAGTTCAGAGAGGACTGTGCAGATTTCATTTTTCACGTCTTATACCATTCTCTGGAAGATGTCAAGGATTACATTTTAATTTTGACAATAAAATAGTTTCTTTCAGGGTTTAATTTTAATTAAATTTTTTTTGTGCGTCCCCCTGGATCTGATATTACGGTGTATTAGGTTGGTATTAAAATCATACCTAGAATATCAGTAACACACTGGAGAACATTAATTCCATCATCAGAACATTCAGCAACTGCGTTCATAATATCCTAAACAAATATTATACAATTAGATAATAGTTATTTAGAAAACTGGGAGGGAAAATAATTAACTCAAAATATAATAACGTCACAGTAAAGCAATGCAACAAAATGTGAAATTTTCGCAATCAGAACATAAACATCTTGTATCCTGAAATTTTCAAATTTTGTAACTATCTCAGTTTCCAGCCATGATAAATTTGATTTCCCAACCAAAATTTGGTTGACATTTCGAACATTTTCAACAAATAATATTTTTTTGTGAGAAAATAATGCATAATTACATCGACACAGGTCAAACATCCGTCCTGACCGGCCTGGATCAAGGCAACTCCTACCTCACGCCGAGACACCTAAACATTATAAACATAGAGAATAGAATATATAGAGAGGAATTTACAAGAAAAAAGTGTAAAACGGCCATTTTGTTGTACTGTTTCCATACTGCAGTTGTACTTCACATATTTATGCTATATAACCTGTTGGGCCCTGGAATTTCATCTTATAGAAAATCTAAAATTATTGTTAAAATGAAACCCAAATTATGAAATAGGCTGGTTTCATAATTGACCAATGATCATTTCACATAGACTCTATGCCTTCCACTTTACAAACGATGATTTTCCGTTATAACTATAAATCAAATGGTGTTTTTATTCACCTAATTTAATATAAAGTTTATTTAACAGTTTAAAAAATTCGAAATTGAAATGGATAGTCTAGGGAACATACTGTATTAATGTACTCTACTGCATATAATTTGTGAACATTTACATGATTTGTACACTTTGAACTCCCTTTCAAGCTGAAAGGGACTGAAAAAGTTCATACCGAGAGATTCTTTTAATTCCTCTCTATATATTCTATTCTCTATGATTATAAATAACATTAATATATAATACTAGGCTTCCAGAGCTCTTCGCACCTATCTTTGATTTTTACTTTCGATTGTTGCTATTTTATCGATTTTTTGGTGGATTTTGAAAAATCAAAATTTTGTCATGGCCATTTTTTTTAGTTTTTAACCATTCTTAAGTCTTTCCTGGGATAATTGTTTTTCAATTGCACATGCCATCTACCAATCAACTCAAACTTATTAGGTAAAATTCATCTTTGGTAATCAAGCTTTATGATTAGATTTTACAACGTACTTCATACGAAATTTTAAAAAAATCTTTTTGAAATATTTGTCAACGATAGCTTAATGATGAAAATGTAAAAAAAAATATTTAAAGCCAAATGTTTATAATTAAATTTGCTGTTCTGAATTTATAATATAAGATTTTTTCATTGATTTTTTACAACATAAATAATTGCTAGTCATTTTCCCAAAACTGTACGCACTTCAAAAATAA